TGCTCTATAACTCGAAAAAAAAAACGATCGGATTTTGATTACATTTGTTTGGACATATGTAGAGTATTATTTCTCATTGTACTGCGTAAAATGGTCTGGTCCGTTGATAATGACGGACACATTTTCATATTTTTTGTGAAGCGAATATGATCAACGCTGCGTGGCGGAGGTATGCGCTCTACGAAGCGCCCGTCTAATTAGGTTTCTATGTTTGTTTCGAATTTCGCGCAATGCTACACAACAGTTATTGCCCTAGTCATCCCTAATTTTGATCTGATGGGCTAGAAGGAAAGACAGCTAGTCAACAGCATACACCGCCAACTGTTGGGTTACTTTTTACCAACGCCCTCACGGATGATAGGGCGAGCATGTTAGACGTTGGGTTTTGAACCGCAGATTGCGAGTCAAGCGCTCTAACCATCAACCAGGCCACAATAGCTCAGAATAACGTTTCACGACCATTATGATCAAACTAGCAATATGACAAATTAATGAATAACTTACACCTGTGTCTCTTGATATTTCATTCACAAATATACAAAAACTGGTAAAAAAATCATCAAATGTACTGAAAACATTAGGTTACAGACATATGGTCAATTAGTTGAATATTTGAAAACCATCTTCCAGTATTTGAAGTAGATTTATGCTCTACGAGAAATATATGATGGTAATGTAGAAATCTTATTTAATGTTGTCGTCACTTTATTTGTATTTGATAGGAAATATTCTAGTGTTACTCATACTGTCCACTGCCAGGGATCGTGAGGAAAAGCCACTGGGGCACAACGATATTGTATTACGGCCCATAACTATGGGAAAGAGTATCTCGAGAGACTGATTTTTGTGTGTGCCACTGTGGTAGTGGGACTAATTGACTTTAAAGCGTTGTCTATTCAACAAGTCCCATGGAACAATGGGAATGTCATGCACAAAAGCATTATTTTTAAAAATGTTCTTCCGATTAGGCCTATTAACTTTATAAAACACGGTGACAGTAAGAGCAAAACAAATAAAACATAAATACCAAACTACCTCAGCTGTATAACATTATATCTTGATTTCTAAAGAAACATACCTACTTAAAAAAAATTATTTTGTATCAATAGATCCATTATTACGGATTTTATTTAGCCGTGAACTAAAATATAATCATAATTATTAAATTATTGTACAAGTTAATGAATTTTTAATTATATTAAAACATATTTTCATCTTGAGATTGGTAAATAACTATTCGATAATACAGATTTGTCTTGTTATACTCTTCTAAACCTAATACAATCATAATAGGATATGATGCTTTGTTTTTTATACTTAAATCAAAGTTATATATGAAATTCGAATCTGACGTTTGCCTAATAAGCGTTCCCTTAATTAACGTCGAATTTAGGTACTAACGGATAAAATCTAAGGTCCCAGTCAATTAAAAATTTGAGCTTTAGTTAAGCTTTGTCTCCAATTAAACTATTGTAATTAACGTTAATCTTAAAAACAAATATTCGTTTTGTTTTTAATTTATATCTTGGATCCAAATGACATACATACAAATATTGTTTTCACTAGTCAGTTTGTTGAGATACATACAAATATTGTTTTCACTAGTCAGTTTGTTGAGATACATACAAATATTGTCTTCACTAGTCAGTTTGTTGAGATACATACAAATATTGTCTTCACTAGTCAGTTTGTTGAGATACATACAAATAGTCTTCACTAGTCAGTTTGTTTTTGTATATCTACTTAAATGTCAACATGTAAAATATATGAGATTTCGCTAATCAAATTTACAAATAAAAACTAGACTGTTTATTGTCGACTGAATTTGTGACCGAAATTATCAACACCACCCAGAAACAATTAACTCTGTTACCGTCCTTCAACTTTCTACTCAATACAGCAAACGGTCAAAAGTTCAGAGTGTGTCAGTCGGCTTAGAATAACTTTTCTAAATGAAAGATCGATTAGATTCTACTAAACAAAATCGTTCTTTAGCCTATTATAAGATGTAAAAAAGAAGCTTGTTAATACAATTGAACTAAACTATGCATGCCTATTTAAATATATTTACACATGGCTTGTGTATATCGTATATATGCATATATATTATTCATATCTTCGGTGTATAGGACGCAAAAATCTTTTGACATCAAATTTTGGGGTAAAAATTGCGTCTTATACACCGAAAAATACGGTACGTATTTACATTACTCGTTTCTCAGTTACAATCAGTGTTCAATCACAGTTGTAACAGATTTTCTACAAGTACACTCGAAACATGACTAATGATCAAAGATTAGATAATTAATTGTCTAGTTTAAGCTTTTTGGATAAAGTTGAGAGACAAATGAATATTTACGAAAGATACAAAACATAGATGAGACACAATCTTATATTTATCTAGACATAGTTGAAAATTCCTAAACATCAACAGCATTAACAAAGTTGGTTTCGCTAAGGAAGACGTATAATCTTAAAAAATCAGACAATAATTAATGGTGACATTTACTGTAAATATAAAAAGCGAGAAACTTTTCATCAATACAGGTGATATGTGCACCAATAGCTTTTTTATTTCTCAAGATGTGATGGTCTTGAAAAGGACCTTTAAATTTCATATGTTTAAAATTATTTATAACAATAGTAGTTTTTTTCTTTTAAAAACATAACTATTTATAATGCTCCCTAAATAATAATAAAATAAATTATAGTAATGGAGTTAGTAAAGTTAGTATAGTAAAGTTTTCCCCAAAACTTTGTCTTCAAAATAAGAGGGCGTCTTATATTCCAAACTTCTCCCCTTTATCTAAGTATACGGTAGCAAATGTCTTAACGAAAACATTGTCTACAGTAACATCGTTGTTACAAAACACGAAACGTTCAACGAAGTTCTAACGCCGTGGTTACGATGCCCAGTAACCAGTATTTTTTATTTATTTATGATTTATTTTCAGGTAGATTGTGCTAATAAAATAAGGGCAAAAAAATAAAAACTACTTTTTTGTTTCTGTAAAATAGTTAACACGCTAGTCCTCATGGGGATGGCAACTGTGTTAATGTAACTAGTCGGCTGAAGTATTTAATACAGATTTTATGTTTCATTTTGCCAAAAAAAAACAACTCGTTTTTGTGTTTTACTCTTAACATTATTCAATGGTTATATCAAACTTATATTTCAATTTTTTTTTAATCTTTAATCTTATAGTTAAGAATAAATTTCAAGATAGAAATTATACCCGAGTGGCTGAGTGTTGTAAGTCAAATGTGGATTCCCTAAGTACTTAAACTAAAATCAACATGACCTGCCTTTACAAACATATGGATTTCTATAAAATCAACTTGACCTGCCTTTACAAACATATGGATTTCTATAAAATC